AATCTTGCCAGCTATGGATAGTATTGAGATCCCACGGTAGTTGCCACAGTCTGACTGGTCTCCCTTGTTCTTATAAATATTGAGAATGGAAGCGTCATTAAGAGCTTGGGGGATTTCCTCTTTTTCCAATATATTCTCCAGGAGAGTGGAGACGACTGGTAAGCAGAGGTCCTCCTGCTTTACACACCTCGGCTGGGATTCCATCTGGCCCTGGATGCTGAGGGACCTGCTGGGTAGTCAGGACATCCACATCGGTGTTTCCGTTGAGCAATGAATGGTAGTGCTCTTTCCAGCGCTGAAGGAGGGGGGCTGCGCCACGGGTGGTTGGCCCATAAAATATTTTAATGGAATTGAAAAATTTGCGCATCTTGTGCTGATCTGCATGTTTTTGTATTTCACATGCTTTATTTTTAAGCCAGTCATTCTTTAGAATGCGAAGTTCCCGCTGGGGTGCGGAAGGTATTAGCTTTGGTCCGAGACTGAGGGTTGTTCTGCCAGTCAGTAAAAGCAGCACGTTTATCATCGATGAGTACTTTGATTGCCGGGTCATTTTCATCAAACCAGTCCTGGTGTATTCTTTTGATCTGGCCGAGGGTCTCTCTGCAGGTTTTTGTCAAAACAGTGTTGAGTATCCCATTCGGCATTGGGATTCGCGTTGTTTGCTGTTGGGTTGTTAATAAGCCCATGTTCGAGCTTCTCTCTGAAAGCATGTGCTACTGCTGGGTCCTCCAGACACTTAGTATTAAAACCTCTTCTGGAGGCTTGCTGCCTTCGCCGTTTTGGGGCGACGTAAAGTGAGAGCTTGGCTCTGACAAGTCGATGATCAGTGTCACAGTGATCTGAGCCACGCATGGCACGGGTAAGGAGGACATCTCGGCGATCTCTTTTTCTGACAATGATGTAGTCAATGAGATGCCAGAACCCTTGAACTTGTCGTCTTGCCTAAATAAGGTATTGGTGATAGTGAGGTTGTGTGCAGCACACTTGCTGTGGAGGCGTAGGATGTTGGGATTACACTTGCCTAGTCCATTTCTCCCTATGGTTCCCTGCCAAGTGTTAGCATCTCTGCTAAATCTGGCATTGAAGTCACCAAGGAGCACTACCTTGTCTTCTCTGGGGATAGAGGCTAGCACTCTGTCAAGATCGGTATAAAAGGCCTCATTGATGTCATCCTCTGCATCCAGTGTTGGGGCGTATGCACTGATGAAGAAGGCATTACGTGAGTGATTCAGTGGGACTCAAGAGTGTCATGAGGTGCTTGTTGATCCCAACAGGCATTTCAGTTAGCCTGTGTAGGATGCTTTGGAGGATGGCAAAGCCATCTCCATAAATGCTGTTTCTCTCCGCAGCAGGCTACCCCTTCCAGAATAAGGTATAGCCAGACCCCCGGTCTGTGAGTTGGCCCTTATCTGGGAGCCGGGACTCACTGATGACTGCTATGTCGATGTTATACCTAGCCAGCTCTTTTGCCATAAGGGTGGTTCTTCTTTCAGGAAGCCCTTTCTGCCAGTATCCAGAAGGGTCCTGACATTCCATGCAGTGACTATAAGAGGTTGCATGGTTTGTTTTTGTTTGGATCCGTGATTTTGACTGCCTGACACACATACACACACACACACACACACACACACGGGAACTAAGACAACACACATCCAGTGAGGGTCTTGTTGTGTGACTGCCTGGTGGCAAGATAAACATCAGCTTTCTCACGTCATATTTGAAAATGTTATGTAACATAATGTTGAAGGGATAAAACTTTGCTCATTTATACTTATACTTACCACAATTTCCCTCAAAAATACTTTAGCTTTTTTCTATATGCAAGACATCTTCACACCCACTAATCCCCCACCCAAGAAAGAGTGACCTGACATTCCATCAGGTCAGTAATATGAGACCACTAATCCCCCACCCTACCTCCACCTGCCATTGCGTCGGGTCAGGCCAGTTACACGAGACCAACTAATCCCCCACAACTCCATGGGAGTGGAAAATAACAGACTTTGCTGTAAAACACAGCTTCATTCATGCCCGTACCATATACATTACAGGGTATTAGTTTTTAAATAAATTTATTTAACCAGATGGACATTCCCAGCACCCAGAAACATTCTGGGGAGGTGGACTAATGTCTGTCTGTGCAAGATGTCTTGGAAACTTTTCTCAGTAACAGGAAACGATTCCGGGGAAAAGGAAATTTTTCCAGGTTTGAAAAAGTTGTCTGGTTACCCGGAAATCTTTCATCCCCAGAAGTGCTCTGTACCAATTGTTCCGGCTAACGGGGATATCACTTATATGTAATTGTAATCACATTTTACATCTTAACAACACTTGGCTGATTATATGCTGATACAGTAATGTACAGTACAGGACTGCTATGGCACAACAGATTGTATATGCAAAAACAACATCAAGTGAGTGAACGTGCTTGTGCAGTGGGGTATGCTATAACGAATCTAATTGGTTCTAGAACCTTGTTCGTTATAGCATTCGTTTGTTATAGGATTAATCCGTTCCAGGCCCCCAAATACAACCACTTAACACTGAAAAATATAATATAAAATTGTAAAAATTGTAATAAAGTGCATAAATATGCATCTAAACCCCTGAAATAAAGAATATCATTAATATTTGTAATAATAAAACAATAAATTAGAAAAAAAATAAAAAAAATAAAATTTAAATTATGTTCGTTGTAGGAGTTTCGTTCGTTATAGCATTCTCAATTATATAGGTAAAACCGTTCGTTATAGGAATATTCGTAGTAGGATCCGTTCGTTATAGCATACCCCACTGTACAATGGAAGCAGACAATGAACTAAGAGTGTCATGATGCTAGAGTTTGAGGAAATAAGCTATGAGATACATCAGCCAATCATAGGCATTCATCCAGTCACATGAAAGCAGTGGCCAATCATAGCTCACGAGCACTATGAGCCCACCCACCCATGTGCACGGCACGCTTCCCTGCATCGGAATCATGGTGTTAAGCTCTTAGAAATTCCTTCGAATGGCCCGAACAGAGAGATTTTCTTGGAATTTTTTGTAAATATTCATGATGCAATCCTTAGAAATTTATTCGGATACCCAGAATGGGGAGATTTTCTCCAGAATGCCATTAAGAAAAAAAAAAGAAAAAAGGCTAACGGAGATATTACTTGTATATTCCTTCCCTCCTGTCCTCCCTCCCACACTCTTTCCACTCTCTGCCTGCATTAACATTTTCTTCACCTGAAAGCTGAAAAAAGTCATATGACTGTAGCTAAAGTAAAAAATAAAAAAATAAAAATAGAATAAAGAAAAAATCATCGTACTGAATAGTTTTAACTCCTTCACCACAAGAGGTCATTCCTAAGCTGAATAAAATGGTCTGTCAGTATCCAGAATATATTAATGACATTATTGGTGACCATTTATTATTACCATTTCTAACCAAAATTTACCAGGATACTTACATAACTATATCCCTCATCAATCTGACTGTCTATCTTCCTTCTCTCCTTCCTTTTGCTCCCGGGAACACTACAATAAAGGGACTTTGAGATCTCGTCCTTGGGATGTATTTTTTAATGACCATGACAGTTGCTCCATGCACCTCTTGTATCCTCTGTCACTACCTTCCTACTTCTTTACCTCACTATTCCTCTCTCCCTTCCCTAGTAAGCGTATCCTAAAGAAAGTAAATTTGAAGAACTACAGTTATTATCATAGAAGCGTCTGCTCTCTACCTAAATTCGAACTGGGAATCGTTTTGTCCATAAGGATGGTCGACATGCATTAACACACTGTCCATTTTCATTATCCCAGGTGGCAGTTTGTAGGAATTCAGTATTATACTGACAGTTGTAGTCTATAGTTGTGATGTTTAATGATTTGGATTTAGAAATCATTGCATTGATTTCTGTGGTTATGAATTGGGTATTGTAGCCGGGAAACAACGTGACGAGGTGGTGTGGTCAGCAATCGTATTCTTGACTAATTTTGTGCTGTTCTAGCATTACACGTAAGAATCATGTGTGATCTGCATAGATAATGAGTAATGGCGGAACAGATGTGCAATCTGAAGTTGATACAGAAAACCCAACTGAGAACTAAGAAAGCTGTTGGACATCGAAAATACTGACAAGGGTTTGCAGAGAAGAGAGCCGAGGTGGTTCAGGCACGTTGAAAGAATGGAGGTGACCAATTGGGTCAAGAGGTGCATTCGTTTAATTAAGGAGATGGATTACCTTTGAGATAAGCACCTAATGAGAGAGGCTACAAGTAATTTTGCAAGAAGGAAAGCTGCCATCAGGTAATCACAGCTAACCAACACAAGCATGAAAAATGGCCATATAGTACTGTAATGATGTGTGACATTATTATTTACAACACAAATCCACCAGATAACAAGAAAACTAAACACAAATCTGTTGCCTACAGTATTTAGAATCCTAACCATTTTGTTCATGCTCTGTTGTCATCATTCTGGAGCTTTGTTACAGTAAAATTACAGGAAATTCCCAGTCCTTTCTTTCCTATGACTCTTGGATGTGGGTGGATGAGTCTGGTAAGTCAGCCTATTAATGTACTGCATTAACCATTATTTGGGGATGAATTAAGTGAAAGTGTTCCCCATAAAAACCACCCATGGTCTTGATCATTATGGGTAAACAGAGCTCTGCTGTAAATGGAAATCCTGTTAACTGGGAACTGCAATGTTTAATTCAGGTGTGTTGTGAGCCTGAGTGGTTAATACAGTAAAACTACCATGCTACTCATAAGTGACTCAAAATATTAAAAAAAAAAAACACAGAAAACTTCAAGATCAAATATTTTCTCATTTTTGTTTGCAATACTTTAAAAAATACCAAAAATTAAAACTACAGTACATCCTAAAGGCAATCCCCCCTATAGGAGCAGAATAGCTGTGACAAATTTCTCCACTCAACAAACAAGCATTTGGAACATATCTGGAGTAAACTCATTAATTATGTAAGAATGTAAAGTAAACTACACACCTGTACAGACTGGCCAAAAGATTGTGGAGTTTGAAGTTTATCTATAATAGACTGCATATGGGATTTATGTGCAGTGTCACCATAAAGGAGAGATGACCACTGATCTGGTGCAATTCTGAGGCCGGCTTCTGTTGCTATTTGAACAATCTGGGCATCATGTTCTCGTCTCAAGGCTTCGTAAGTTCTAAATTCTTCCTTCAGCTGCATAAGTGATGAGTCTCCTTCTCTCTTTGATACCTGGTGAATGAGGACAAACCTTGACAAAACAGCCACAATATGTGGCCCCCCACTAGCACACTGGCTTACACATGAGAAGGGTTCAACCATCATCATCAATAACAAAGTTAATATCCCAGCTTTTACCTCCATATAGCACCAAACAATCACACATGCAGTATTACCATAAAAAATATTAAGGGTTTGTACTGTACTTGTTGCTGTTAAGAAAATGTTTGGATACACAACTGGTCTATCTGGGTTGTTACTCAACACCAAATAAGAAACTCCACTTTAAGCTGATAGATGGTGACCAGGTCAAAACCACTAAGGTAGGCATGGTTCTAATTAAATCTCTCTCTCTCCAGAATCAGTTTTCGCTATAAGATTTGTCTCTCACCTTAAAGCAAGATGCTCGATAAAGTAGCTGCACCACATGTCCGATACTGGTCTTGGAGGCCTGTGGGAAGTGTGGCTCCAGGCGCTGAACCACAAACATGACCAACACCTTTCGGGAGAGAGCTGAACCATCCTCAAGGGCTAAAAGAACCAGTTTCAACACTTCTTCCTGCATTGCTGAAAATTATAGTATTCAATGTTATTTTAGCTGACCCACACACTCCAACATCACCCACACACCACTAACACCACCCACAAAGCCCAACACCACACACACACACACCCCTAACCCCACCCACACACCCCAACACCAGCCACACACACCACCCACACATCACTAACACCACCCACACACCACTAACACCACCCACACCCCTAACACCACCCACACATCATAACCCACACCCCAACATCACACTAACACCACCCACACACTAACACACTAACACCCCACACAACACCACCACACTAACACCACCCACACACCACTAACACCACCACCCTAACACCCACACACTAACACCACCCACACACCCTAACACCCACCCTAACACCACCCACCACCAACACCACCCACACACACACACACACCACCCCCCCAACCACCCACACACCCAACAACCCACACCCCCAACACTAACACCACACACACCCCAACACCCCACCTCCTCCACCCACACACATCCCCCAACACACCCACCCCTACACCACACACACACCTAGCACCACCCACACACCACTAACACCACCACACCCTAACACCACACACACCCCATCCCACACACTCAACACCACCCACACACCCCAACACCACCCACACACCACCATAAAACAACACACCCTAACACCCACACATAACACCACCCTAGTAACACCACCCACACACACCCAACACCACCCACACACATCACTAACACCCACACACCCCAACATCACACACACACCCCAACACCACCCACACACCCCCCAACACCACCCCACCCCTAACACCACCACACACCACTAACCACCCACACACCCCCAAACACCACCACACACCACTAACCCACCCACACACCCCTAACACCACCCACACACCCCAACACCACCCCACACACCCCAATACCACCCACACACCCCAACCACCACCCACACACGTCCAACACCACCCACATCACTAACACACCCACAAGCCAACACCACACACACACCCTAACCCCCACACACAACACCACCCACACACCCACACCACTAACACCACCCACACACCCTAACACCCACATCACTTACCAGCCACCCCAACATCACACACACACACCCCAACACCCCTTTAACACCACCAACCACCTAACACCACACGCCCTACCCACACCCACTAACAACCCACACACCCCTAACACCACCACACACCCCAACACCACTACACCACCTAACACCACCCACACCCCCAACACCCAAAACCACACACCACTAACACACCCCACACACCCCTAACACCACCCACACACCCCAACACCACCCACACACACACCACAAACACATCATATACCACCCACACCCCAACATCACACACACACACACCACCAACACCACATCACACGCCCCAACACCACACACCCCAACACCACCCACACACCCCAACACCATCACACACCCCAACACCACCCACACACCAACACCACCACACACCCCACACCACCCACATCCTCCCACCCACACACACCCCTACACCCACACACCCCAACACCACCCACACACCCCAACACCCACACACCCCCAACACCCACACCCCCAACATCATCCACACACACCCCCCAACACCACCATACACCCCAACACCACCCACACACCCCAACACCCATACCCCAACACCACACACACAACACAACACCACCCACACACCTAACACCACCCACACATCACCAACACCACCCACATCACTAACACCACCCACACACCCCAGCACCACCCACACACACCCCAACACCACCCACACCCCAACACCACCCACACACAACACCACCCACACACACCCCCAACACACACCCACAACACCACTAACACCACCCACACACCCCCAACATCATCCACACACAACACCACCCATACCCCAACACCACCCACACACCCCAACACCACCCACACACCCAACACTCCACCCACACCCCAACACCACCCATACACCCCAACACCACCCACACACCAACACCACCCACACCCCAACACCATCCACACACCCCCACCCACACACCCCAACACCCCAACACCATCCACATCACCAACACCACCCACACACCCCAACATCATCCACACACCCAACACCACCCATACACCCCAACACCACCCACACACCCCAACACCACCCACCCCAACACCATCCACACCCCAACACCACCCACACACCCCCAACACCACCCATGCACCCTCAACACCACCCACACAGCCCAACACCACCCACACACCCTAACACCACACATCCCCCACACACCAACACCACCACACCCCCAACCACACACACCCCAACACCACCCACACACCCCAACACCATCACACACACCACCCACACCCTAACACCACCCATCACACACCAACCCACCACCCCGCCACCTACACACCACTAACACCACCCACACACCACCTAACACCACCCACACCCTATCACCCACACACCCCAACACCACCCACACCCCCAACACCACCCACACCCCAACACCACCCACACCCCAACACCCCTCAACACCACCCACACATCACTAACACCACCCTAAGCCCAACACCACACACACACACCCCAACCTACACACAACACACACCACACACCACCTAACACACCCACACACCCTAACACCACCCACACATCACTACCAACCCACACATCCAAGATCACACACACACTAGCACCACCCACACACCCAACACCACCCACACACCCTAACACCACACACCACTAACACCACCCACACACACCCCTAGCACCACCACACACCACTAACACCACCCAACCCAACACCCACCTACAGACACAACACCACCCACACACACACCACCACACATCACTAACACCACACACAACACCACCCACACCCAACACCACCCACACACCCCAACACCACCCCACACACCCCAACACCACTCCACATCATGACACCCACCCACACACACCAACACCATCCACCCCAACACCACCCACACCTCACACCACCCACACATCACTAACACCACCCACACTCCTCAACCATCCACACACCCCAACACCCACACCCCAACACCCACACACCCCCAACACCACCCACACTAACACCCACACCCCCAACACCACCATACCATATACACCCCAACACCACCCACACCCCAACCTACCCACACCCCAACACCATCCACACATCACCTAACACCACCCACACACACCCAACACCCCACACACCCCTATATCCACCACACACCTCCAACACCACCTCACACAACCCAACACCACCCACACACACACCCCAACACCACCCACACACATCACATAACACCACCCACACACCCCTAACACCACTCTAATACACCCTAACACCACCCACACACCCCAACACCACCACACACCCAATCAACATCCACATCAACCAACACTAAGTATCCTCTAACACCACCCACACATCACTAACACTTCACCCACACAACACCCACACACACCCACTAACACCACCTGCACACACCACTAACACCACCCACACAACCCCAACACCACCCACACACACCCCAACACCACCTTTCAACACCACCCACACACCCCAACACCACCCACACACCCAACACCACCCACACACCCCAACACCATCCACAAACCCCAACACATCATCCACATCATCCCAACACCACCCACATCACTAACACCACCCACACATCACTAACACCACCCACAAACACACCACCCACACACCCCAACACCACCCACAACCCTAACACCACCTACACATCCCTAACACCACCCACACTATCCCAACACCACCCACACACCACTAAAACATCCCACATACACTTCATCATCATCCACTAACACCACACACACCCCAACACCACCCACACACCCCAACACCATCCACACACCCTCAACACCACCCATGAACACACCCACAAAGCCCAACACCACACACACACACACACCCCCAACCCCACACACCAGTCACCACACACACACCACTAACACCACCCACACACCCCTAACACCACCCACACATCACTAACACCTAACCCACACACCCCAACACATCACACACACACCCAACACCACCCACACACCCCAACACCACCCACACACCCCTAACATCACCCACACACCACTAACACCACCCACACACCCCAACACCACCCACACACCACTAACACCACCCACACACCCCCTAACACCACCCACAATTCCAACACCATCCACACACAACCACACACACACTCAACACCAACCCACACACCCCAACACCACACACACACCACCACACCAACCCACACACCCCAACACCAACCACACACACACCACTAACACCACCCACACAACCCAACACACACACAACCACCAACACCACACACACCACCCACACACACCCCAACACCACCCACACAACCCTAACAACAAGACCACACACATCTTAACACCACCCACACACCCTAACACCACACACACCCTAACACCACCCACACACCCCAACATCATCCACACCTAACACCACCCACACACCCAACACCACCCACACAACCTAAACACCACCCACACCCACACCACCCACACACCCCTAACACCACCCACACACCCCCAACACCACCCACACACCAACACCACCCACACACCCCAACACCACCCACACAACCCAACACCACCCACACACCCCAACACCACCCACATCCTAACACCACCCACAACCCTCAAACACCACCCACACACCCCAACACCACACACACCCCAACACCACCCACACACCCAACACCACCCACACACCCCAACACCACCCACACATCACTAACACCACCCACACATCCCCAACACCACCCACACACCCCAACACCACCCACACACCCCAACACCACCCACACACCCCAACACCCTCCACACATCACTAACACCACCCACACACCCCAACACCACCCACACAACCCAACACCACCCACACCCCAACAAAAAAAAAAAAAAAAAAAAAAAAAAAAAAAAAAAAAAAAAAAAA